ATGTGAAATTAAATTAAAAACCATTAAAAAAAAGACTAGGCTTACTATTCTTTTTAGACAGAGATCAGTGGAACTCCCAAGACTGAGGCCTTTAGCCACCCTTCAAGCCTGCAATGAACTCACCCCCATGGCTCAACTTTCAGCTGAACAATAGACAGGCCTCTACCAAACCAAACCAAACCAAATTCACTGTTGTCGAGTCGGATCTGACTCATCAACCCCTCCTTGGGTTTCTGAGGTGATATCACTACAGAAGTAGATTGCCCAACCTTCCTCCTGAGGAGTGGCTGGCGGGTTTGAACCACCAGCCTTCTGGTTAGCAGTCAAGTGCCTTAGGCACTACGCCACCAGAACTTCCTAGACAGGCCTATAAGGTGAACAATATCACTTGGGAGATGTCATTACAAGACACAATTCTAAGATGCTCTTCAAATATTTGATTGTGCATGAGTTTTATATCAAATACCAAAAAAAAATTTTTTGAAAACAAGAGTAGCATATGCTCAGGGATAAAGCTCAGAAGGCAGGAAGGGACAGAAAAGGACAAATGGAAACAAACCACAGGGAGGAAGTGGGAAGAGCGCTGTTACACTGTAGGGATTGCAATCAATATCACCAAACAGAATGTGCATGAACTATTGAACAGAAAACCAATTTGCTCTGTAAACTTTCACCCAAATCGTAATATAAAGGTTTTTTAAAAAAGAAGGTACCACAAGAGATTTTCCCTATTGTTTCATTTATCATTATAATGGCATATAAAGAAATACAGGTTTTAAAAGTAATGAAAACCCATTTTGGAAGTAGGACATAGGGAGGTGACTTTGATTATATAGATTACCTCCCCACACACCAAAACAAAAACCAAAAACCAAACTCTTTGAAATAATGGGGAGCTCTGGTAGCATAGCACCTAAGGCACTTGACTGCCAACCAGAAGGCTGGTGGTTCAAACCCAACAGCCACTCCTTGGAAGGAAGGTTGGGCAATCTACTTCCTTAGTGATACCACCTTGGAAACCCGAGGAGGGGTCACTATGAGTCAGGTCCAACTTGATGGCACATAACAACAACAACATGAAATAATGTTCTCAGTTATATAACAAACTTAATCTCTATCTTTTTGTTTTTTGAAAGCAACTACTAAATATCTTGAGGCCACTTTCTTCATTAGATAATCTTTTCTTCCAACTGGCCCACAAAGCACCTAATTTCTATTTAACCTTTTAAAGACTCCAAATCTGTAGACCATCCTTTTAAAAGTCTCCTCTACAGAATGGCTAAGAAAAGTCAGGAAGACATCCTAGTTCTGCCAATTGCAAGCTGGGTCATGGTGGCATATCATATCATCAATCTGTTCTGTCTTTAGTAAAATGGAAGTGATCCTATTTATATACTTCCCAAGGTTCTGAGGATTAAATTCAGTAACATATAAAAAAGCAACCAGGTCCTGGGTATACAAAAGGTCCTCAAACATGTGTCCTACTTCCTTCCTGTGCTAGTTCAATATTTAGAACAGGAAAAACTTCATGCCACATTGGCCAAGTCAAAAACAATGTTTAAGAATGAGATTCGACTCAGTTAAATGAAAATGACAGATTGAGGGCATTAAGCATTTTGAAAAGGAGTTTGGTTTTCACCTGATAGATCATGAAAACAATAAAAATGTGTCTGGCCCAATAATTCAACCTGCATAGAGCTATCAGTTTATAAATTAGTAATAAACTAGAAAAAAGAACCACACATGTGTAGACACACTGGCTTCTAGGAGAAGAGTGCAAAATAATTCGGGGGAAAAAGAGACTTCCTTCCTATAACCAAATACATCAAAAAATTAATTACTTAAAACTGCTCCATACAAATAAATATTTTTTACTCAAGCTGTAAGATAGTCAACTCTGTCAATCTAAACCAAAGCAAACTAAAGTATTTCTTATCTTAAGTCTAAGTTTTAAAGTCTTAAATAAATTCTAAGATGCTCTTCAAATATTTGATTGTGCATGAGTTTTATATCAAATACCAAAAAAAAAAAAAAACCCAGTCATCAAGTCAATTCTGACTCATAGCAACCCTACAGGATACTGTAGAACTTCCACATACAGTTTCCACGGCTATAAGTCTTTTTGGAAACAGGCTGCCTCATCTTTCTCCTGTGAAGTGGCTGGTGAGTTAGCAACTGAGATTTAACTACTGGGCTACGCTAGTATCAAATACTGTATACATAACCCTTATATAAGCAACATAATGGGTAACGGTTTTTATGGTGATCACAAAAACAGTTTTAACCTTCTTATGACCTTTTAAAGTTTAGGATTAATTTTATGCTTTTAATTAAAGTATTAGAAAATTAAGCTAATACGTTGTTGTTGTTATGTGCGGTGGAGTTGTACCTGACTGATAGCGACCCCTCCTTGGGTTTCCGAGGCAGTATCACTATGGAAGTAGATTGCTCAACCTTCCTTCCGAGGAGTGGCTGGTGGGTTTGAACCGCCAGCCTTCTGGTTAGCAGTCAAGCATCTTAGGCACTATGCTACCAGAGCTCCTTAAGCTAATATAGTTTAGTAAAATAGTTTTAGTGATTAACATGACCTTAATACAGTTTAGAAATGTCAAAGAATGGATAACTAACAATACACTTACACTCCTATGTTTGTTACTCAGGGCAGTACCATTGACAACACCCCTTTGGGGCTTGTTAGAAATGCAGAACCTTAGGGCTATGCTCCAACTTTCAGTT